CCCCTGGAGAACCGATGGGAGGACTGGAGCCCAGCAGCCAAGCGGGCGGGCCCAGCGGGGTCTCAGCGCTGCTCCCTGTTTTCCAGAGGCCCTGTTCCCGCGGGTCAGCGCCTGGACGGTGGCGCTGGCTGTGCTGCTGGTGCTGCTGGCCGTCGCCTTGGTGACCACTGCTGTCCTTCTCCTGAGATCCAGGAGAGCCCGAGGTAAGGGGGGCAGTGTAACTTGGCTCAGTTGTGGAAGGTTCGTAGGACCACAGTTATGTATAAGTAAACAGTGATCTTACACATTCTTGTTTATTTAAAATTGACAGAAGAACCGCAAGGAGGAAGAGTTCTTTCTTTTACAGATTCTTGCATCTTAGCAGGGATTTTTATTTTTTCCGGACTCTCACTGCTTCCTCTGAAGGGCCTGAGTGTCCTCACACTTGAGGTCCCAAGTGCTGCCCAGACCCACAAGCATGCGTCCCTCGTGAGCACACAGCATGGAGCTCTGCTCAGGACAATGGGGACCAAGCGTCCTGCACTGCTGCCACCAGGGCTCAGCTCAGTGTCCGGCCCAGCGTTCCGAGTGCTTCTTGCCCAGAACTGGCTGATACACAACATCAGTTGAGTGACAGGGCGTTTCTTATTTATGCTTTTTATTTGTCTAGAAAAATAAATTCTGTTTTATTGCATGGATTATGGAGTATCATATGACACCCAATTTTCACAAAATCTCCCTTCTCATAATTAATTTGTTTGCCATGACGTCACGTTGACCTGAACCTCAGGCTCTGCTGCTCCTGTGGGAATGCTGTGCTTGTCTACGTGAGCAGCAGTGGCCAGGAGCCACCTGGTGGAGCTGCTGTGGACACCAGGCAGGTGCCACATGACCTCAGGAGGGCAGGAGGAACAGCGAGTCTTTTGGGAGATTACAGGGTTCAGCCCCCGCCAGGGGATACGGGAGGGAGAAAGGTCAGTGGCAGACCCTGAGCAGGCCGGCCCTTACCCGGACGTAGCTCTCAGGTAGCACGCGGCATTGCCCTTCCCCTCCGGAAACTCCACATTAGCAGCCTCACGGAGGTGAGAGGTGTGATGAGCCCTGGGCGGGAGGGTGCGGGACTCACGGACTTCAGGGTGGACACTGAGATCCGCATAGCGGGAGGCCCGAGGTTGAAGCTGAGATCTGCGGAGGTCGCTCCCTGCCGGGGGACAGCGGGCTTCGGAGCGCGCTCTAAACACGTGGTAAAGCTGTGCCTAGGAGAAGCATAATCGTCCTTAACCAAATGTACAGGAAGAGGAGTTTTTTGACAAAATATTGACTTTATGAATCAGAGCATCCAAAGAATATACTAAAATTTTGTTTAGTTAAGGAACTTTAAAATTAGTTTTTCTTAGACTGTTTTCTTTCATTTGTTGCCAAAACACGTAAAGAGATTAGGTATGCAGGAAGACTGAGGGGCCAGGACGTGGGAACTCCATTGGTCCCAGGTCTGCTGCCAGCAGCTGGCATCCTGGGGTGGAAGAAGGCTCAGGTGCAGAGTAAGACGTTGTCTGGCCCTGCTCACCTGCGCAGCATTTGAAGTGCTTTTTTTTTTTATATTTGAAAATTTTATTGATAAACACATAGCAATGAGACAGTTTCAAATCAAATCTGAAGTACAGTTTCAACAATTAACACACTGCATATATTCTTCTTAGTGGTTAATTGCTGTACAAGATGCAGACTTGTGATCCTACTTACAAACACCATTAGAACAAATCATTCTATTC